AGTTATGGGTGTCTGCTTCTGTTTCCAGCAGGTACTAGATGAGGGCTCCATGATGGTGGATAAACTAGTCATTGATCCCATTATCAGGGAAGGGCATTTATGGTAGCCTTTCCACTGTTGCTCAAATTAGTTGGCGTCAGTCTTGTAGGTCTCTAGACATTTCTTTAGGTTCAGTTTTCTCTTCAATCCTATAATGGCTCCCTCTTTTATGTCCTCTCTCTCTCTCTCTCTTAAGTAAACAGTGTACTTCCTGTTTGGAAAACCTTATGTCTGTTAAAAGCCACAGGCTTTATGGCTGTCTATGGAAGTAGTCTGGTGTAACATGTATCATTATGCACATCAGTATCATTATGCGCATCGGTCAGATAAAATGTAGATTTGATACAAAGAGCTGGGGTCCCCCATCAGCAGGCTTTTCTGGATAGTACACTTCCCTCATTTTGGCACAAGGCCATCCCTTCCTCTGTTACCTTCTTGCATGTGTGTCATTAGTACTGATGGCTTTAGATGCTCAAAAGCTAGGGAAACTGAGATCAAGTGAAATCCTACACTTCACCTTCTCCACCACTGGGTGTTTGAACTATAAAACCCTAGGAAACGGTACTGGACAGACAGAAACAACAGTCACCCCGTTTGCCTTCTTTTCTTGCCCTCAAGGCAGGGCTGGGGAGGGCACAGCTTACCGGGCCGGGCCTCCCTTTTAATCTAGATGCCCTTTTCATCTTTGGCCACAGAGAGTCTCCTTCTTGATCTCAGATCAGCCTTTCAAACCTGCGCTTGAACCTCTGCATTAATTTGATCTCTTCAAATGCAGCTGCAATCCATTTTCTTTGAATTTTCCTTCCTTTGCTGAATCTGTTAGACTCAGACCCAAAGCCCCTTGAGGCAGCAATCTTTTTATTCCCTATATAATTCTTTTGAGTGGTCATATGTTGGTATCAGAATCTAAAACTAACTGTTGTAAGTGTCCTGAAAAATCATACCCATGTTGGAGAGATGGGTTGATAAGGCTATGTTTGGTCTCCTTATTACCTTCTTTATGTATCAGTAAAAACTTAGGAATCCGTTCCATTAATTACCAAATTAAGAACATCATCTGAGTGCATCTGAAACCTACAGCAGAATTTCCCCTGCTTTTCTATACCTCTCCTATCTGCTGTCCCCACCAATTTGTTGAAAAGCAATTTGTTAAAAGTGATGATTTAGTGCTAATTTTTATTCTGTGTCTTTAAAAGTTCATAGAATCCACTTCCACAGTGGATCATGTCATTCGGGACCACCTGAATCTATGTTCCCATTCTGCAGTCACTCCAATTTGGCTTAGAATAAACTTATGTTTCCTGTGAAGCATCAACATCTTTTGCCTCTACAATGGCTAATGTTCTACAAGGAAGGGAAGTGACGTGTGTTAAGGACACCATGTATTTTTATTTTAGACATGGTCTCAATGCTGGCCTAAAACTCACTATGTAGGCCAGGCTGGCTTCAAGCTCATCAAGTTGCATCTGCCTCCTGTATGCTGGGATTAAATGCATGTACCGACACATCCACTTAGGGACATAGATTTCTTTCTTTTCTTTTTTTTTTTTTTTTTGAGACTGGGTTTCTCTGTGTAGCTTTGAAGACCAGGCTGGCCTGGAATTCACAGAAATCCCCCTTCCTCTGCCTCGTGAGTGCTTTTTATCCACATCAGTGGCCAAAATTCTGTTTTTACAAAGGTATAGATGGTATCATTACATAATATTGAAATGGGGTGATTTGTGTGTGTGTGTGTGTGTGTGTGTGTGTGTGTGTTGTATAGCACACTGCATGTGCGGAGGTCAGAGGATAACTTTTGGGAGCTGGGTCCTGTGGGTCCTGGAGACCAAGTTCAAGTCATCTGGCTTGGTGGCAAATGTCTTTACTCTCTGAACCAACTTACTGGTCCTAAAATGGAACTGTTGTGAGCTAGCAGTTTGTAGAGCATTAGATAAGTGCTGTTCCTTTCAGAATTTGAGGCACTCCTCATCGAACTCCGAGGGTGCTCTGGAGATCAAGCAAGCCTTCTTGATATGCATATTCATGTTTATTGCACACACGCCTGTAGTAACTTGGAATGCTTTCTCCAGTCAAGCATGCTGACAGACCTATCCCATTACACTTCACCTTTGTTCAACCCCAAAGAATGTCTTTTTTCCCTTTTTTCCCCCCCCCCCCACTTCCCTTCACTCCCTCTTTTCCATTCTTCATTTTTAACTATTTGTTTTATGTGAAACCTCTTAAGGTTTCCTTTGTAACTTGAACTTTCCTTCCATGGCATCTTACACACACAAACGCTGACCCAGACTGAAGTCAGCAGAGAGAACAGGCCTGTTGATGCAAGCATGTGCTGGACATCTGTTTACACATTTTTCTCAGCACAGAGCATAGTTTTTCCTACATCTTTACATTCTCAAGTGGACCATTTCATGTTTGGTGAAGCAGGGAGTACGATGAAGGGACAAGTGGAGGAGAGAAACACACACACACACACACACACACACACACAACTTGATGACCAACCCTTTATTTAAAACTTGTATGGAGTTCTGGTGTAAGATGCAAGTTTGGAGGCTGGGCTTGCCTAAGGCCCAAGCATCTTCACAGTCAGTCCCAGGCATATATGTTAGCATAGGTCAGGTTGAGGCCAAAGATAAGAAGAGGGAGCAGGATAGTTCAGCACTGGGCCTTTGTATTGGAACTGTGTGGCAGTTTTGCCTCTTAGTTGCTCTGTGAACTTTGGGCAACAAAGTCTGTGAGTTCTCTAGCTTTCTTCTCAGCTGAGTGGTGGCAATATCTCAGTCTGTTTTTTAAAAACTGAACAGCACTGGTAATGTACCTCATGTCTAGCACAATGATGATAGTGAATGGTTGTCCCAGTCCTTATTATTAGAATAAGGGCTGGGGCCCACTGCAAGGAGCTGGCCTGCTGATGATCTCACAGGTACAGAGGAAATGCAGAGCCGTTGACTTCCTCCCGCCGGCTTGTGGGTCAGGAATAAGCACAATCAGTTCAGTGGCTATGGTAGCTGAACTCAAGCAATTGCTGTAACAGCAATTCCACTCCTCAGTATACATTCAGCACACTCTGATTTATGTGTCACAGTATCTATATAATAGCATGGCTCAAAAAGAAAAAGGTCAGAAACAAATATAGGAAGGGTAAACACCAGGTATTTTTGGATAGTAGAATACGGCAATAAATGTCATCTAACAGTCGGAATGAGTTTCACAATGCTGTGCAAAAGGTAGACATGAAATAGTTTGCCTGTGTTTATGTAAATGCCATAAACAGGGAGTGTAAGAGACGGCAGTATCAATCGTGTTTTCTGTGGTGGGGTTAATGGGTGGCCGCCTGGTGCTGGCTTAAAATGTAACTCACTTTGCTGGGCGTTGGTGGTACACACCTTTAGTCCCAGCACTGGGGAGGCAGAGGCAGGAGGATCTCTGTGAGTTCGAGGCCAGCCTGGTCTACAGAGCTAGTTCCAGGACAGGTTCCAAAGCAATACAGAGAAACCCTGTCTCAAAAACAACAACAAAAAAGTAACTCACTTTGTGGACATCCCTCCCTCCCTCCTGCAGGTCCCAGAAAAGAGCCTTTGCTATTCCCAGTGCACATGATGTGTGACAGTTCACACTATCAGGGCATGACTGGCCCTTACGTGCACCTAAGAGCACAGTGAACTCATAGTCTTTGAGGGTTGTTAGGGGGGCAGTTGGGGCTATTGAGTGTTTGGGTATGCCATTCTCTCACAGGCAGGAAAAATGGAGGGAGACTAGAAGAGAAGAGAAGAAAGCAGAAGATTAGAGGGAGGGGATGGATGGGGATGAGGGAGGAAGAAAGGCAGGGGTAGGAAAGGGGAAGTAGGAGAAAAGCTGCCTTTAACAAGCTACAGGTGTAAAGCTCTTCTGCCCCATATAGCCTGGCTCTAGGCTTGGAAAAGTATTCTGATGCTTGCTACATTTGTATTAAACAAGCACCACCTTGGAGCTCACTGCTTGTCAACAAAGCAATGGCTATGCCGATAAAGAAAGGCAGTCAGTGGTAGCTGCTGCTATCGTTCTCAGTTTCTGCGACCACGGAGGCATGCTCCCAAGGCCTGCTGCAGCACTCAGAGGGCACAGGCAGATCTTTGCCCTTTGTAATCTTAGCGTCAGCGATGTGTGAGTGAAGGTAAGCACATATTTCAAACATGTGTATAAAGGTCAGATACCAACTCAAGTGTCACTCCTTGCCTTCAGCCTTGCTTGAAATAGGGTCTCTTGTTTTCTAGTGCAGCAGGTTAGCTTGTGCGCTTCTGGGAATTCTGTTTCTGCCTTCTATACTGCCATAGGAGCTGGGCCTATACATGCATGTGATACTACATCTAGTCTTCTGTGGGTCCTGGGAATTTGGACTCAGGTTCTCAGGCTTGCATACCGAGCACTTTATGCACTCATTTACTTCCGGAGCCTGATCTTTGACTGTCCTTTAAGAACTGGCTGGTTGCTTTCCCTTTCATTGAAGGCTTTAATTAGACACTTATTCCTTACAGATGCTTCATTTAGTTACATTGTAAGCATAGACTTTGACCAAAAGAGCAGGAAAAGAGGAGGGACCAGAGCCAGGCCTGCAGCTACCCTCAGTACAATATGATGCTTCCTCATAGAAGCGATAGAAGAATTATGCTAGTAATGAGAGGTGTGTTTGCATACACACTTTCTTTCTTTCTTCTTCTTTTTTTTTTGGCTAACTGATGATATTACATTTTGGAATGAGCCTTTTAGTGGACACATGTAAGGAAGAACTAACAGAGGGGATGGGTCTAGAGATGAAAATAATCCCATGGTATCTCAAGGCACTGATTTTGTTTCCCTCCACCTACCCAATCCAAATAACTTATTTAAATTCTGGTAAACACAGGGTTTGCTTATTACACCAAGTCCTTTTATTGTGAAAGAAATAACTCCAGTCTAAGAGGCTGATGATGTCCAGTCAGACGTGCAGGAAAGAAGTGTGTTTTATTTGAAAGTTTGTGGGTACTGCAGGCATGGATTCCTCACATTTTCTAAAATGCTAGGAAGAGTCCTTTAAGTGGCAAACTTGGGTCCAAGTTACCAAAATAGTTTTCTATATAAACTTTTCAGGAACACATGTGCTGTGAAAAAGATGTTTGTAGCACGGGGACTCCAAACACAGCCTGAACAACATTTATTAAATGTTCTTCCACACCAGGAAAGAGTGTCCTGAGCCATTGACAGTCAGAGCCACTGATGGTCAGGGCCACTGGTGACCAGAGCCACTGTGCACTTAGGTTAGGACTTAATGACTGGAGATTAAAAAAAAAAAAGAAAGAAAGAAAGAAATTCAATCACTTGCATTTGTTGGTAAAAAAGTCAAAAGGAGTTTGGTGAGAAAGACATGTTCCAGAAGCTGTGATTTGAGGTCAAATGGCTGAGCTCAATGTGAGACAGGGTGAGCCTCATTAAGAAGGGATCCAGACAAGGCAGCATGACCAGTTCAGATGGCTGCCTCTTGAGAACTGGTGTGGTTGCTTTCCTGAAGGTTTTAATTAGAAACTTAACTCCTTATGGATACTTCATTTATTTCCGTTGTAAGCATAGACTCTGGCCATAAATGCAAAAAGAAGAGCAATGAAAGCCAGGCCTGCAGCTACCCACAATGCACAGTCATGTTGGAACATCTGCAGCACAGTTCTGGAGTATGCAGAGTCATGCCGAGTTGCAACACAGGTGTCTGAAGTTGAAGTCAGATGATTCCCAAACCTATTTCTGAATTCCTATAAAGAGAAAAACAGATAAGAAAGTATTTTTCAGGAAAAAAAAATCCTGTAGTTATATCAGCCATGGTTTTTTATTCTTTCAACCCAGACACATTTGGAGCTTGGAGCTACCTGGATTAGAACACCGTCTTGTTTATTTAGACTTCGTAGAAGACATTTTGTTCATCAAACACACCCTTGAGGGCAGACACTCCAAGGTGGTCTGCCATTGGAGGAAGGCTGAGCCCATCTCCAGGTAGGCTGGGTGACCAGAGTGACCCAACACATAGAGTTCCCTCCATTTGCTTTGGTATGCTAGACACAGAAAAGCTGGGACAACCTAGCTAGAGCACAGTGCAAGGTGTGATTCAACACAACTGCTCTGCTTTTAGGGGAAGGCTCCACTCAGCAAGGCGTCTAGTCTGACATGGGGAAAGTGGAAGGAGGGAAACTGCTGCTCTCATGGGTTTTAATATTTTGCAGCACTCTACTGTATGAGATTATTTACATTATAAACCTCCTTTCAAAACAATGTCCCCAGATAGCATGGACACCCCTGCTGGAACATGGAGATAAGAGAAACACAGAGGGTGGGAAAGAGGCACAGCATGGCAGAGGGGGTGCATGTGTCAGTGAAGGCCCAGTTGCCCTTCAGGAGACAGCTCTTCTTTGAGGCTGGCTCCTGTGGTGTTTGGGACAAGAGAACCACTGGGTTCTCTTGTGCCTCCCTTCTGAGCACTTTGACAGTCCTGAGCACCCCTTCTCCACTGCAAACACCGGCTGGGGCCTGAGAGTGCAGAGATGTAGAGGCATATCTTGGCAACCGAAGGAGCGGGACATACTAAAGACCTGAAGACATCTAATTAGGACAAGGCAGAAAGACTTGAATAACACGAAAGAAACAAATTGGCGTCTGAAGAGATGTCTCAGTGGTTAAGAGTGCTTGCTGCTCTCACAGAGAACCCAGGGTTCAGTTCTCAGCCCCGCATCAGGCAGCTCACAACCACCTGTAACTCCAGCACTAGGAGATCTCATGTTCCCTTCTGGGCGCAGAGATTACTGCACTCATGTGCACAAAACCCCGAATAGATATACACACATACAAACAATTTAAAACAGAGGGGAAATGTAGAAAGGAAGGCGATGTTTATGACCCAATTTCCAACCTAATATTTACACCTGATTCATGTGGGAGAACCCTTGCTTTCACTGTAAAAGGCCAAAGGGGAATTTAAAGTCGCTGCTACCATGGTGACTTTCTCAACACCAACTACAGTCTTTGTGTCTGCACATCTCAGACATTTGGGCCCATCCTGCCCTGCTGGTCTCTATGCAGGGGAGTCTTTGTCAGGGAGCCACACCCTTCAGGAGACAGCTCTTCTTTGAGACTGGCTCCTGTGGTGTTTGGGACAAGCTTCCACTTCAGTTGACTGAAGGAGCTCTCAAGAATGGCACTCATAATGGGTTTGTAGTTTTAAAAGAATCATTAGAAGTTATTTGTATGAAACTGCTATCAAACCTGGAAGTCTATTGATGTATTCAGTCATTTTGGTAACTTGGGCATATGTCAATCAAGTAATGGTGCCTCCATTTGTCACATGAGTCAACTCACTCGCATTCCCATTCATAACTGTGCTCTTGGTAATTATGTTCAGAGCTATGTGTATTGGAGGTGATGGGTTCTATTTTATATGACGCCTTGGCAAGGAAAAGGTGGTTCTCAGCCGAATGAACTTCCCATGGCTGGGGTTTTATGGGAATGTTGGTTCCAAGAATACTGAAATAGCAGTATCTTCACTCTTGCTCCTCTGGCCTGCTCTATGTTCAAACCCATGACTATGGTCAATCTATAGGAAGACCACACCACATTACAGTGCTCTCTGAGGATCAAAAGCTATGTAACAAACCAGCACCCCAGGACATATCTTCAAAAGAATGCTGCTTACTGAGAAGCTGCCCTGGCCAACTCAGATTTACCTGATCTGTAGGATGAACAAATGTAAATGGAGAAATACTAGGAAACATAACCTCTCTAAATAAGAACAAGATGTAAGGGAACTGAAATGGAAGAAAGACAAGCCTGATGAAGAATTTAAAAGAACAATGATAAAAGGTACCTCAAAGCCTTGCATAAAACTGGTAGAAAGATTGGAGCAGAAATAAATGAAACATACATGAAGACAGAAAGCCTAATGACCTATGTTTGATCTCCAGGACTCATACAGTAGGAGTGAAACTGATGACTGAAAATTGTTCTCAGTCCTCCACATGTGTGTAGTGGTACACACATGCAAGCACACATACACAATAAAACAAAACAAAAAACAGGAGTAGACAATGTCAAGTTTATCCTGAATGCAGATGATATACTTCTATACATAAGAACACCTGAATATCTATCTGGGTTTTCTATATGTCAATAATGAGTTTGAGGAAAAAGAAATTAACAAAGCAATCCCATTCACAAATAGTTACAAAATACTTGGGGATTAAACTAAGCAAGGATGTGAAGTATCTCTGAAATGGAAATGACAACAAACAAACAAATAAAGAGACAGGCACATATACACACAACCTCCCAGGTTTTTAGTTTGGTAGAATTAATGTTGTTAAATGACAATACTATCAAAAAGACTACTGAGACAATGAAATCCCTGTCAGAACTCAATAACTTTCCTCAGAAGACTAGAAAATAAGCCTATAGTTCCTTTGGACCACAAAAGCTATATTAAGCAAGTAACAGATTTGGAGGCATAATTTCCTTATTTCAAAACATATTGCAGAGCCACAGTCATCAAAATAGCATGGTACTGGCAGTAACATCAACTAAATCTCTAAAGTGTCCATTGGAGAAGAGATAGCATCTTCAGGAAATGGTCCTGGGAAAATGGACATCTACATGGAAAACATTGTAATTTAACGACAATGTCTCATTTAGTACCAAAACTCCAAATAAGCAAACAACAAAACCCAATACAAAATATATCAAAGACCTAAAAGTAAGACTTGAAACCCCAAAACTACTTGAGAAAAACACAGTAGTAATTCTATACACTGGTGCAAAGGATGCTTTTCTGGATAATTCCTTAAGATCACAGAGAACAAAAGCTGAAACTGGCAAACATGGGGACATCAAATTAAGAGGCTTTTCAGTATCCTACAGAATGGGAAAAGATCTTCACAAACACCACACCCAATAGAGGGCTGATTTCCAAATCAAATAAAGAACTCAAGAAACCAGACACCAAACAATGCAATTTAAAAATGGTGTACAGATCTAAACAGAGAATTCTCAACAGAAGAATCTCAAATGGCTGAGAAACACTTGAGGAAATGTTCAACATTCTTAGATCAGGCAAATGCAAATCAAAACAACTCTGAGATTCTATCTTACATCTGACAGGATGGTTAAGCTCAAAAAACAGAAGCAACAGCTTGTGCTGGAGAGGATGTGGAGCAAAGGAAATACTCCTCCACTGCTGATGGGAGTGCAAACTTGTACAGTACAGCCACTTAGAAAGTCAGTATGTTTGTTCCTCAGAAAACAAGGAATCAATCTACCTCAAGACTCAGCTACACCATTTTTGGGCATATACCCAAATGATGCTCAATCATACCACAAGGACACTTCTCAACTATGTTCATAGCAGCTTTATCTGTAATAGCCAGAACTTGGTAACAACTTAGATGTCCCTCAACTGAGGGATGGATAAAGAAAATATGGAACATTTACACAATGGAGTATTACTCGGCTGTTAAAAACATGGATACCAGGAAATCTGAAGGTAAATGGATGGTACTAGAAAAAATCATCCTGAGTGAGGTAAGCCAGACCCTGAAAGACAAACATGATATGTATTCACTCATAAGAGATATTAGCTATAAAATAAAACTATGCTATAATCCACAGACTCCAGAGAGACTGGGTAACAGGGAGGGATCATGGGGAGACACCCAGATCTCCTTTGGGAAGAGGAAGAGATTTGGTGGATTGACTCAGGATGGGTAGGGATGGGAATCTGGCACAAGGGAAATCTCTTAGGAGCCTACAAGAAGGATCCCAGCTTAGACTCCTAGCAGTGGCAGGTATGTAGTGTGAATTGGCCATCTCCTGTGACCAGATTGGTACCTATCATCAGAGAGTTGTCATCCAGCAACCAATGTGTTGTCATCCAGGAACATGCTGTGCTTTGTTGGTACTCATGGGAGTACCTTTCCTAAGCAGAAATGGATGGGGAGTGGATTGGGGGGTGGGAACAGAAGGGGGTAGGACACTGGAAAGTAGAGGTGGGGGAAGAGAAGCTGCAGCCAGAATATTAGCTAGCTATCTAGCTATTTAAAGAAGCCAGGCAGTAGAGGCACACGCTTTTAATCCCAGAACTCAGGAGACAGAACTCTCTGTGAGTTCCAGGCCAGTCTGAACTATAGAGTGAGTTTCAAGATAGGCTCCAAAGCTCCACAGAAACAAAACAAAACAAAAACAAAGAGGTTTTACACAGTGAAGACCCAATACACAGAATGAGAGAAAACCTGTGCTAGCTATTCACTGGACAAAGGGTTCACATTAAGAATATGTAAGGAACCCCAAGTACTTAAAACAAAAGGAAATGAAACAAGCAAACAGCTAAAGAGTGGGCTAAAGATCTGAATGGATTGTTTGCAAGAAATACAAATGGCAATATTGTGATTTAATAAGGATTACGATAAACAGGCCGAATAGATGTTTATTCAGGGAGAAATAACTTACAACCTAGACAGATGAACACCAGCAGGTTCCACTGGATGCTCTCCTCGTCCACCAGCAAGAGCTCCTCCTCAGACCTAGTTCTACTGGTCACTTCTGCCCCTGATTCCACCCCAATGGGCATGGTCAGTGCCACAGAAGGAGACAAAGTGACTATCCTGCTACATGGCAAATCCATGAAAAAATTCCTAGTATCATTAACAATGAAGGAAATGCAAGTAAAAACCATAATGAGACATCAGCTGACCCTAGTTAGAATGGATATAACAATGAC